CACGATAATCTACAAGAACAGTATTATCGAATGTACTTAGAAAAGTTTTCTATGTTGGATAGGCGTTGCTTCACATAGTCGCGAAACTCCGCAGAAGAATTTGAAAAAACTGGAAACGGAATATCGTAGACATCGTACCCCCACTTCCAATAAACCATAAGATTCCACGCGCCGAGCTGAATCGAATGGTGCCTTTGGATTCAAAATTCGTTCACTCTGAAGCGAGATATGGCCACGCGACGGTGATGTTCATACATGTAGCGACATGTAGCGACATGTATGGACGTGTCGCTACATATATGGACATGTTGCGACGTGTCCATACATGTCCATACATGTCCATACATTCGGTCTATTTTTCAAAAAATTTGATCGGTATTGTACATCATTATGCATCAAATTTGAATCAACAGTAACGGCGCGATGCTTTTGCTTTTACTGGGGAAGCCTACGTATTGACAGTTTGCGAACGTTAGGGATTTTTTTAAAGTGCAATCAAAGAAAATCTGTTTTTTTAGTAAAAGACTCAATTAACTTGCGTTAATTTGACGTCAATGATACATTCAATTTTTTAGTGCTGTTAACTGCATCAAACAATTATATTTCATTGTTTGCTTCAGTAAGATTGTCTTCAGGAAAAAATTAGTGTCTTTAAAGTTAACTTTCATTGGCCGATTACGAAACTCGGGGACATTGCGGATTTTTTTTGCTGTTCTTTCATGTGACACTATAGAAACATCAAAAATGAGTTACATCTTTCAAGTTGTTGTGTACACATGCGCGCAGCTTCCCCGAAACTCTCAGTTTTGGAATATATGCGTTGGTTTTAGCATTCCACCATTTCAGGCTCCAAAATCCTTTTTTGAACAAAGGAGGGGGGAGGGGGAAGCTAGAGGAACCTTAATGATTGGAGGCAAATGTCACTTATGGAGAGCTTTCCACTTACAACAAAAAGTTTCTGCTAAGTACAAAAACTAACTTGTGAACTGAAGCAATTACGCACACATCTTTTACAGCTCCATTGTAAAAAGGAAAGAAGCAGATTGCGTATTCTGGGAAAGCTTTGCAATTTGCTTCATTCTGTTTCGCAGCCCTTTGAACCGCATTTATTGGGCTCATTGGTCAAAATCTTAATTAGTAGGAAGTATGATAGTAAAGATAGTCACATTCACTCAACAGTCACTTAGTTGAGGTTACATAACTACGAAATTCAAGGTCATATTATTTGACAAGATTACTGCAAGAGAGGGGTGGAGGGAGAGGGTGGGGGTAGGAAAACCTGCCACTCGCATAGTAGATGCATCGTACAACTCTCTTTCTTGAGAAGAAGAGTAAAAGATATGCTACTACACGTGACACTAGTGATATCGAGATTATGGATCAGTGAAAAAGGAAGTGAGGACTTGAACAGAAGAGAAAGCTTTGAGACCTATATACTGCGTATCCAATGATAGTAAATCCTAGTCGCAAGCAGCTGAAGCGGGCCTAGGTCAAAAGCGCCTTAGCGGAGTATCACTAGCTGTGAATCTCGGGACGGACCGTACTACAAATGACCGGATGCGTTCTTGAACGAAAATGGATTTCTGCAGGTTAGTTTGCAGCAGGAGGCTACGGTACGAAACCGGCTTTTGATGTTGTTTTGTTAGGTAGGCTGTCAATCTTTGGTAGGTGCACTATATAGGTATCGGTGATTACCTTCATTGAAGATTTTGCCCAGCACACGGGGAAATTTTCATGTATTTTTTACCTTTACAAGATGGAAAAAACTAACTTTATTTTCCTACTTCTGCGACTGAACAGCTGCTCACCGTTCCTTTCTACCAGTAGGACCCCGAGGACAGCCAGTTCAATTAAACTGAGACAGGGTTTGCTATGGGCTTCAGACTCTTCACCTAAATCAAGTAGCATTTGGCGACTGCACATTGAACGCGTATCAATTGAACAAGAAAGAACACGCCAGCAAAGGATAACTATCTAAAGTGCACTCGCCAATATTGGTGGCGATCGCCATCGTTAATTAAGCATTTGATTGTGCGAAATATGTTTTCGACGTCGGCGTGGGCGGAAAAGCCGCTGTTAAAATCGTCGTAACAATATTGTAAAGGCCCTATATTAGCTAGCGTCCAGCTTCACCGTCGATGCATGTGAAGATCACCACTTGCTACTTCTGAACGACATCTCCTTGCACCTGCCCACTTCTACATGCCACTTTCTTGCCTCCACTATTTTCGTGACCGGCACTCACTAACCCCTCCTCTTGTACTTTGCTGCTCCTCAGGTCACCTTTGCATCTCAGACACTCGCACCGGCTGGCGACCGTTCGACGGCCGGCTGGTCTGTCGCCGACATTTCGGCCGGAACGGTCGCCAGCCGGCCGCCAGCCGGTACTCGAACGGCAGCCAACCGGAACCCGTAGCCGCCGGCCGGTATGCGTCAGTGGCGCAGCGAAATGGCAGTGGGCCACAGTATTTCTTATTCCAAATTCTAGCTAGCACTGTAATCTCAATACAGGGTGGTAGAATCTACATGGACATATTTAGATAACACTATACAGTGCGAAAAGGAAGAATCTCACACAGATCCACGAAAAATCAAAGCTAGCAACTTTTTATCTATATGGAAGGATCCTTGAAGCAACAGATTCACACATCGTTGGACAAGCGTTCCGAATGCGCCGGTGGGTCACAGTTCTTCTACTTTTAAACACACGTAAGCAATAACAAGCTGCATTCGATGATCTGTAGATGAAACAAAATCGCCGATTTTTAACTGACACTAGAACTTACATGCTATGCACAGAGTTGCAACAATGTTTGTTGGTAGAGCAATAGCAAAGAAAATAAGCATAACAGTAGACGGTTAGAATAGATGACTGTATCAATCTCTGAAAAACACTGCAACGCTATTTTTATCTATATGATGTTCAAAAAAACTTATACCTTTTGGAATGGGTCCAGCAGCCGTGACCAGATTAACAGAAAGATAGGTAGGATATCAGATAGCTTTCGGAATCGTAAATGTTGTCAGCACAGTAGCAGCTGCCAGATGAACGGTATCCAAATGAATTTTAGAATACCCAGCAAATCACAAACAGTCTAGAAATTCAAGAAATGTGAATATGTAGAGGAGCGTCCTTTAAGAACAATACTCGATTTTACGAAAAACCTGAGCATTCAACCATTCGCTGCAGTTCCTTCAGAAAGACAAGAACGCAAACACCATACATATTGCAGTTGTCTCCTGGAAAGTAGTGAACATTCAATTTGTACTTCATTAGTTCGTACCCAAAAAGTGATGCGACACATAGACTTAACGTCACAGGAAATAGGCATGAACTCACTGGCGTTCGGCTTCTTCGCCATTCAAGTCAGAAAAGGCAGTTCGCCGTTCAAGTCAAAATAAGCAGTTCGCCATTCAAGTTAAAATAAGCAGTTAGCCATTTAAGTCAAAATAAGCAGGAATATAGAAGAAAGAGGTAACGAACATCATGGAGTGTGATCAAATCTGAAAGAGAGTGGAATGAGCGGAATCTTAATAATGGGCTACATCCACTATCAAATTTGGACATAGAAAGTGACGCAAATGAAGTGGAAAACTCCAACAATAACAAAAAAACTAATAAAGCAAAGTTTTCTGTTTAGAAGACACAAGCGTCCAATGTTTGAAAGTAATATCTTACGGTACGCGCTATCTTATGCGCTTTCCGAGCTTTTGCACAGTGGAACGGCCGCCGGCCGGCGTTTGACTCCGCCTAAAATGATGGAACGGCCGCCGGCCGGCGCGAGTCTGAGATACTTATATAATCGGTAATGCAATGTTTTTCTAAGTACCGTCTGATCAACATGTTCGCTCACCCTATCTCGCTCCTAGCTAGCGTTCTAGCTCAATTTTCGCAAAAATTGATAGCATTAATAGGCAGTCGATGGTATTCTAAAGTTGATTGTTATAGCCGTAATCAACGTGCCCACCTATCCTCCTGTACCAATTCTCAGCGTCCCAGCTCAAACCTTGCTTAAAAAATTGATTTGATAATGAGAAGTAGCACGTGATACCCTCCTTGCCCCGGAGTTTGTGTGCAAAGTTTGATCCAGATCGATACAGAAACTCTTGCGAAATTGCCGCTGAATATGCTAAAACGCATTTGATCTCTTGGATCGATAATCATCCGAATACAAGCGAATCTCTTCCATATAGCCATACTAGCATACAGTAAGTTCCAACCCAGTTTAGGCAAAAATTGGATCGGCGAGTATCTGCCTCGCAACGTTCGCGCCGTTTCGCAGCTACAGTATGTCATATCGTGCTAAGAACCCACGTCTATCTGTATCATTCAGTCTTGCATTTTCTAAGCCAAGTGCGTGCTAATTGGTGATGGTCGGCCTTTGTGCTTCCACTACAATGTTCATTTCGATCTTTACCTTTTGTTTCGTGCTTCTGATAGCCTTCAACAGTACATTCTTCACTAAATAACATCTAGTGAAATATGGCGATAGTGAAAAAGCTGTGTGCCCGGCAAAAAGGCAACATCGAAACATCGAAAGAATCAAAGGTATGCGCAAGTGGATCTCGGCTGGCTGTATTAGGCAAGTGTTGGTCCCAGATTAGTTAAAAAAAAACCAGGAAAGAAAGTGTTAGCCTGAACGACACCAATGTGAGGACTTTGGCGCAGAACAACAAACGAAATGCAGCTTATAAAAAGCTGCTCAATGAACTGCAGGAGGAGTTCGGCTTCGAGACCACCGAAAAGAAGATCCGAAATCATTTCGATCATATACGATCGAGAGTGGTTTTGAAGGTTATGGTCTTCAAGAAAGGCATTTCAGCAGAGAAGAGGTGTGTGCAGGTGGCAGTGGATACAACGAGAAATAGACCATTCTCAGGTGTCGCATGGGGACGGGCGGCGGAAGGGAAAGAAGAAGCGAATTTCTCTAAAAACAACGACTGTTGCCCTTTCAACACTGATTCGGAAGAAATTCTGTGGAGATGTTACGATAAGACCCCTATGACGGAGCCATGTCAGGAAGGGGAAAGCATGGTGGGGAAGGTATGTTCTAAAACATACTAAACTATTGGAAGGAAGGAAGCGGGCCTTTATTGTTGGATGATTGAGAGCATCCACTACCCAGGTGACGACATCACTCACAGCCTTCTGGCACACTCCGAAACAGTCAGCTATAATAGTTTGATGACTGTTGGTGGCCAGGTAGCGGAGTGTGATAAGGGCCTGAAGCGAAAACAGAGTAATTATAGTAGACCTTTATAAAACGATGGCCAAACCTGGTCCTCTTTGCTGATCTCCCAGGGCTCCAGCCCTGCATCCGGCAGCAGCAGTTCAAGCATCCTCACGATCTTCTTAACATCTTCTCTGCGAAATCTATACTTCGAGTAGAAGATGCGATAGTTCTGCTGGAACACAGAGGAAGGATGGATGCGTTGATAACGAACGTTCCTCTGGCGCTGCGGAAGGACGTTGAAGAAGAGCGAAGCCATCTAAACAAGCTATTCAGATAGTGATTCCATTCAAGTTTAGACGACGACCACGGCAATAAACTTGTTCGGATTTTTTTAAAGTGTGTGCTTACAACCGTGCAAGTGTATGCACTTGCACCCAAGACAAAACTTTGTGTGCCACGCAGAACTCGTACCTGATATGTACGGCACAACACGCCGCGCTCTTCACCACTCTTCCATTTCGTTTAGAAATCAAGTCTTGCGGCGGCTATTTCAACGTTTCATAGCGCCATAAGCGTGCATGGTTTGCTTCGATGGTACGGGTAAGCACATTCATATGCTTACTCATATAACACCTGCATGATTACAACTCGATTACTAAACATGATAAAAAGATGAAAAAATGAGTAAAAGACAAACAAGAAGCAATAGATAAAGTTGCGAAAGAAAATCTGGTGCTGTGTATGGACCTTAGAAGGCTGTGCCGGTCACTGCCGCAGAATTGCTTTGCCGATAAAAATCATTTTTTTTGGCCATTGAAACGTTTTCGCTGCCTCGGAACTGAACCTCCCACCCTTCAGACAGTACGCCATCCTCTTCGCCACTCTACCGCAGCACTCAATTCCGTTCCGTCCATAACGGCTATTGGAGCGTATCACAATGACTGCGTGATAAGGTATGGATTTTCCGATCAATGGGTCGCCGATTGCTGGACTGACGCACGATGAGATCACCTCCGGTCCGCCTCAAGAGAGATACCCTGATGGGGGTTTAGTACTGGCCACAGGCCATGGAATCTTCAATATTAAGATACGCAGCCTCGTCTTACACCTCTATTTATTTAACCATTGCAGATATATCATGAAACTCCATGATTCTTTTATCCAATGCCTTTTCTATTCATCTCCTAGATCTCACTGATGAAGGTGGTTGGAGTATTATGCAAAGTTCAAGCTACCAGGTGAGCTTCTTATTTTATTAGTATAATCTATATGGTTGAAGTTACCTATACTTTAGGAGTTGTAACGAGGATCCTGTAGAAATGAAACCTGTCTATGCGACAGACCAGTAGGTCGAAAAAGAAGCCAAATCTGGCTATGAGGCAACTTGCCTCAAAAAGAATATGGGTAATGAATAGATAACAAATAAAAAACCCTCAAATGAGGTACTAAATGTTGAATGGCTTAGGGTTTCCCTCTAAGTTACCATCCAACATTAGCACAAACAATAAACAAAACAAAATAAATACCTAATTCCGTTTCGTTCCTACTCAGTACACAGAAATTGAGCAAAGTATACGATTTTCCCGGAACTCATCAGTAGTGAAGGAAGATCGTAAACTAGTAAGCCTTAAGGAAGAAAACAGAAAAAAGAAAGAAAGAGAAATCCAAAATTTCACTTATAAATTAGATAGCTGTGTTAGCAATCATCCACTTGCTATTGTTAATCGTAAGTAGTGCTCCTTAGCACTCTATAATGGATTAGCAAGCTTGGTTAGAAACTTATTAGGAGAAAGGAAAGAAAATAACTACGAAAATAACAAAAATAGAAATTAAGAGAGTGTAGTAAGGAAAGGACTCAATGTGTTGTAACAGAATTTGAATTCAAAATATTCGCGCATAGCAACTGGTAAGGTTGGTTATCGTAAGATCACGTTACTCACATATTTTAATCATATATACTTAATTATCAAGTTATAAAATTCAGAAATTACTGTTATTGTTATTTTGCATTTATTATTGTGTTTTATGACTGATAATTTGAGTAATATGTTTATATATAATTATAGTTATATATTATTACTAATATATTAGGTTGTCCCAAAAGTTCTTGCGCCGGATTTTCAAAAAATCGTAACTTCCTTTCTTCTCAACGATTTTTCTCATTATTAGTTCTGTATGAAAGAGGAAACCTTTTTCTTTATAGAGTTACCTTTGCCATGAATCAGCGTTGGTAAGTTCGAGAGTTAAAAGCAATTGAAGGAAATTAGTCAGGATCGACATTTTTCAAGCTGGATCACGAAAAATTCTGGAAGTATTTTTGTTTGATAGAGAAAATTTTGCACATTACAGTGGTACCTTTTTCATGAATTAAGACGAAGTAGATCGCGAGTTAGAAGCGAATAAAGAAAATTCCTTCACTCTTGCAATTTTTGAGCATGCTCAAAAAAGCTTAAAAACGTCACAGAAAAGGCGAAAAAGTCATAAGCATGGCTTTTGTGATTTTCCCTTTCTAGCTGAGCGAAAATCTTGCCAATCGGGAGCAATTTTGATTTTCGTGATTTATTCGGATTTTCGGGCCTGCTTTTTTTCACGAAAATGAAAATTGCTCCCGATTGGCGCGATTTTCGCTCAGCTACAAAGGGAAGGTCACAAAACCCATGTTTATGACTTTTTCGCCTTTTCTGTGACGTTTTCAAGCTTTTTTGAGCATGCTCAAAAATTGCAAAACTAAAGAAATTCTATTTACTTGCTTCTAACTCTCGATCTACTTCGTTTTAATTCATGATAACGGCACCAATGTAATGTGCAAAATTTCCTCTATCAAATAAAAATACTTTCAGAATTTTTCGTGATCCAGCTTGAAAAATGTCGATCTTGACTAATTTCCTTCAATTGCTTTTAACTCTCGAGCTTACCAACGCTGATTCATGGCAAAGGTAACTCTATAAAGAAAAAGGTTTCCTCTTTCAAATGAATTTAAAACCAAGAAAATCCATCGAGTGGCAAGGAAGATATGACTTTTTGAATATCCGGCGCAAGAACTTTTGGGACAACCTAATATTTGTTTCATATTTACTACACATATATTAGGTTGGCTAGAAAGTTCTTGCGTAATTCAAACAAAATTCAATAACTTTTCAATGACTAAATCTAAATTCACAATCTTGTTCTCTAAAAATATTAGAAGGCCTGCGCTCCATGATGGATGTTCAAGCGCAAGATTTCATGAGCTAGCTCCCGAGAACGAAGCTCTCAAATATGGGACTTCAAAATTTGCAATTTTGAGGTTGGTGCCAGAAAATCGCAGAGTGCCGTTAGCTAGCCGAAAAAAATCTGTAAAAATTACTCACACTGCAGAAGTCCATCATTACTTTTAAAAGCTTTGATCTTGCACGGTGAAGCTAAAACAAAAAATTCGTGAAATATTCGTTTTGCGGAAAAAATCCACTCATTACCGCAGTTTTTCGTCAAAAACAATTTTTTACACTCCAAAAAACGTCGCAAGGTTTCAAATAGGCAATGTGTCTTATTTCTGGTTGCAAACATTGTTTTTGTGGAAAAATTACATCGATAAGGGGATTTATCCTGTAAAATGACAAATTCCACAAATTTTTTGTTTTCGCATTTCCATGCGAGATCAAAGCCTGCTAAAATAACGTATGGACTTCTGCAGTGTAAGTAATTTTTACAGATTTTTTTCGGCTAGCTAGCGGCACTTTGCGATTTTCTGGCACCAAACTCAAAATTGCAATTTTTGAAGTCCCATATTTGAGAGCTTCGTTCTCGGGGGCTAGCTCATGAAATCTCGCGCTTAAACATCCATCATGGAGCGCAGGTCTTCAAATATTTTCAGAGAACAAGATTGTGAATTTAGGTTCATTGAAAAGTTATTGAATCTTGTTTGAATTACGCAAGAACTTTCTAGCCAACCTAATATACAGAGTGTCCCAAAAAGATGTGCACACTGTTTGGTCGCTAATAGCTCTTTGCTTTCATGTCTTACGCCGAGCTTGAGGTACCATTCTGTAAAGCGAGAATAAACTTAGATTTACAGCATGGAGCGAATAATCAATCACTCTTCATTACTGTTGGATCACGGTATGAACTTTCAGCATACAGCGTCACTGTGGATTAAGCCTTTTGATGAAATAATTTTTAAAAAATCTGAAAATTTGTGTAGTAAGGTTTTCAGGCGTGCTGATTTCACTACACAACTTTCCACCAGTTTTTCGAGCTTTCTTGATGGCGTATTCACATTTCTGACGAACATTGAAAAATCAGTTGTCACCCTAAATCTGAAATAACTCATGAGAGAAACAGTGTACTGACGTGCAATTTTTATATTTAGAATTAGCAACTTCGATTAACCAGTTCAAGAGTTTCTGGCTTGGTTGACTTTCTTTCTAAGGCAAAATACCGCTTTCAATGGCTTGAAATTCTCCTCAAAATTCCTATCGTAATCCTACAGTAATGAAGAGAGGCTGATAAGTCGCTCCATACTGTATATCTAAGATGAACCTTGCTCTAAAGAATGGTACCTCAAGCTTGGCAAAAGACATGAAAGCAAGAGAGTTATTAACAATCAAACAGTGTGCACATTTTTTTGGGACACCCTGTATATTTTTTTATATACAGTGACCGCCAAAAAGTTGCGGACAAGTTCCCTCCTTTTTTCAGCGTTCATTTTCGGATGGAAAACCAGGATGAAAAAATGATTGGATTGCATGAGGTGATAGAGCTCTTCAAGAGCTACAATCCACACGTTGCGCTTTCTGGAAAACATGTATTCTAAAACTTTTAAAAATCTTTTTCTAAAAAAAGTCCGGGAATTGTCGCGTCATAATGTGGCGGACATAATTCTTCGAACGCGAAAGTTTTCTCTTAGGTCTTTTTCGAGCTAAACAGAAGTTTTCCGAACAGGTAAGCATACCGTATCATAGAGGTCATCGAGGACAACAATCAAGTAGTGGTTACTTCCAAAAAAACGCAAGTTTGAATTTTGTTTTGCTTTTTTATAAAAAATAACTTCTATTTTTTTCTTTCGAAGCAAATTTCTTCACATGGAAACTTATTCAAAACATCCCAACAAAGCTGTTCGGATAAAGTAGATGCTCTTCACCATTTTTCATGCATCGAACGTGTGCTGGTGAGTTTCTTGGCTGAAAATGACTTCTGACAATGCGTGCACATGACCCTACCTGCGCCTCACCACTGCCTTGTACCGCTTTGCAGGCTTGTAGCTCTCTGAGATTGCCCGTCAGGCAATCTACGAGCCTGTACTTGTGTTCATTCGAAAGGGCGTGACCTTCGACTTGA